AAAGAATCTGTTGCGCGTCGTTCGACGCAGCTCAGGCCAAAAGATATTTTTGCCCGGGGTAAATCGGCCCTTTCTCTTCTATTCGCCCCACTCGACATCAAGTCGTCTTGCTTAAATGTGTCGCCGGGCGGTTAATGAGAGGGACCCGGCCGTCGGGAAAGGGTACCGACCTAGAGTAGATGACAGAAACACATATGGATTTTTTTTATCTAGACGTGTTACATTTGGCACCAATTGCTAGATACTATATATTTCTATTAAATTCTACTATATCTATGATTTGCCTTTTTCCAGTATATCCCTATAGTCCAGGTCTTATACTTGTCTTATGCACCATGACATCAAAGGGACTCACCCAGACAGCGGAATGTCTCCGGGCAATTATCTTGACAACGCCCCCAATTTTGTAGATCATTATAAGGACCACTAAGTGTGAACACATTTTTTTAATTCCAACATGTAATCACCACCAGACGTGGTGACGACACACTCAAGTTTTTCAACTTATATTAATGCCGCCACCAACACGGGGCAAATACATGACAGGACAATACTCATTTACACCTGAGCTAAGTGAGGAAAGCCGTGTAAACTGCCTTTCCCAAGGGCACAAGATCGGTGGCATGTCAGGACTCGAACCCGGTGTATGTCTCTTGAGGAATTATCTTAACAGCGCCCCAAACCACTTAATTTTCTCTTATCTGATGACTGACTATAGGTAGAAGACTTTTTACAAGTTTTTACATGGGTAAGAATGTGCTAGTACACGATGGCGGCGGTTTGTGACGTGTGTCTGGACGTTACGAGCCTTTTATTCTAACCCGCGTCTTCTGAACAACGCAGGACATCCGCATCTCTCTAAACTGTCTCTCTGTGTGCGTTGGATGTCCGCTCATGGGAAAGCGAAACAGGGATTCCACTGGCTCAAGTGCAGGGAAAAACAGCCCGAGTCAACAGAACCCCCCTCCCAAGACGTTGAAAATGTCTGCCACTTCGCCCGATGACGTTAGTGAGGTGAGTTGTAAATTCCCTCGATCCCTCAAGAACTACAAACACTGGCACAACTTATCATGACGCAACTAAAGAAACAACAAGACACTGTGGTAAAAGAATGTAATACTGTTGGGGACAAGCTGTCGTCTCAGATACAAACATTAGATACCAAAGTTGACAGCCTCACCACCGACATGGCTGCGCTGAGGAAACGGGTGCGAGAGCTGGAGAACACCGTGGAGTTCCAGGACAGCGAGATGAAACGGCGTAAGCCCTGGTCACAACCCGCCATACGTGCTTTTTGTCCGTACGGTTTTTTGGGAGGCTACGTCTGCTACGTTTTTTCTGAAACGTGGGGAAGGAGAGGCGTCTACGCACGTCACTCGCACGGTTGCGCAAGGTGTAAAAGTGTGGTCTGCACGCCACGTCTGGCCGTGAGCGGTTGCGTGCATCGTTCGTTGCGCAAGTGGTAAGTGAGTTAGTTGTACGTGCTTACACCGTACGATCTCTGTGCGATTGCAACTTTACCGTAAGGAGACCGTACTCAAACGTGCTTCTTCCGTACGGTACGTACGGGGCACGCGGGTCGCTCGTACTCACACGCACGGGTGGTGAATCCGCATACCGCACACAGAAAAAGGACACACGTAGACAGCACGCAGAAGCACGTACGGCGGGTTGTGACCAGGCCTTTAACGACTCCCTGCTGGCTGAACGACGAGAGAGAGAGAGAGATAGAGGATCAGGACGGGCCTTCTTGCTGAGAGATACCTGATGAAGGCGGATGTTGTTATTCGCGGAATCCCATACAGCAAAGAAGAGAATTGTACTTAAGGGTTTTCCAGCTGGGTCTCGATTGTATGCCTATAGTCGCGGTTCATCGACTTGGATGATCTACACCTTCCTGACCGCCCCCCTTTATTCTACAGGTCTTTTCAGTAGTGTTTATTCTGTATGTTTATTTTGTATTCGTAAAAAAATGATAACGAATTATTTTGAAAAAGGGTAAGAATGGGTAAGAATGTGCAAGGATGGGCTGGAAGGATGGGTAAGAATGTGTAAGAATGGGAATGATGAGTAAGGATGCGTAAGGATGGGTAAGAATGTGTAAGGATGTGGGAGGATGGGTAAGAATGTGTAAGGATGGGTGAGAATGCGTAAGGATGGGTAAGAATGTGTAAGAATGGGTGAAGATGTGAGAGGATGGGTAAGAAAGTTTTCCAATATTTGGCTATGTGTGACAGTGGCTTTGAAAAGCATCTGACTAGAGCTTGCATATCGGGAAATCCAAAAAAATTGTACAGCACTTCGCAATGTTTATAGAATTTTTATCTCGGCCGCCTGAGCGGCCGAGATATTGTGCTCCAAAATATGTACGTTGAATGGTCTGTACGTTGAATGGTTGGATGGTTGGATGACTGAATAAATCTTGATTTCGACCGTGAAAAAATACCCAATGAAACCAATTACTCTGCATGTATACTTTACTTTGTGGTGTCGACCTACCGGATGATAGTGTCGTTATTCTGATACAACGAAGTTGCTAAAAAAGAGGAAATGCTGTTTACCACAAAACCATTGTTTTATATCATAGTATGCATTTAATGTTCTAGAATTTCGCTAATAGCTGCTGTAATTGGACCTATAAATCAATGACATAAATTATGTACATTAACCTTCCATATTTGCTTAAGTCGCAAGATGTCGCTTTTGATTGGTGAATACAGATAGAACTGTATAGACTTCAGCTCACAGAAATAGCTGACATTTTTTATCTCGGCCGCCTGAAGCGGCCGAGGTATTGTGCTCCAAAATATGTACGTTCGATCGTGTTTTCGACCGTGAAAAAAAACCCAATGAAACCAATTACTCTGCATGTATACTTTACTTTGTGGTGTCGACCTACCGGATGATAGTGTCGTTATTCTGATACAACGAAGTTGCTAAAAAAGAGGAAATGCTGTTTACCACAAAACCATTGTTTTATATCATAGTATGCATTTAATGTTCTAGAATTTCGCTAATAGCTGCTGTAATTGGACCTATAAATCAATGACATAAATTATGTACATTAACCTTCCATATTTGCTTAAGTCGCAAGATGTCGCTTTTGATTGGTGAATAAATCACTGTGACGCACGTAAATATTCACTTGAAATGAGAAATTACCGCCCAACAAAACGGACCATTAGATTCCCAGTGCTGTATTACTCTTTTGTTCTTGTGGTCAACTTGTTTTCTTTGCTTGAATCGCGTAAAAGACCAAGGAAAATACAATGAAATCGGCAATCGCCGAGCCGCCGCCATCTTGGATTTTTTTGGAAAGCTGCAATTTGGCCCAAACCGCTAGAGGGGGCGAATTAAAATGTTTAATATATTCGGTCTGAAGTTTTAGTAGCTCTAGCAGTAGAGGAGAAGTTTGATAATGCATAGAACGGATAAAATAGAATAAAATTAAATGAAATAAAATAAAACAGAATAAAAAATAAAATGAAAATAAATAAAAAATAAATAAAAATAAAAAAATAAAAATAAAATAAAATGAAAATTATTGTAGTGGTTACATATACTTAACGTTATATTGTATTTAGCAATGATCATCTAGCAAAAAAAATTCGGTACCGAAACTCCGGTATTCAGAATCAGGTACAGGTACAGGTCCGGACCTGGACCTGATCCTCTGGACCTGGAAGAGCCGAACAGGTACCCACCCCTATTGCTAGTGGTGTAATATGGCTGTAATGTCGACACTGTTTGTTGAGTACTAGTACAGTATATTTATATTCCTAATCAAAAGTAACAGTGAAAGATTTGCCCATACATTGGTATTGAAATAAAGAGCACATTTTAGTACCGTTCACCTGTCAATTTGGTCATTTTCCGGGGGGGTACGTTTATTCCGGAGGGTATGTATATTAGACTTTGAAGATTTGTCCGGGGGGTATGTTTATTCCGGGGGGTATGTTTATTAGGGACATGAGAGTAGTATGCATTAAATGTTATAAAGATTTGGTAATAACTGCTGCAATTGCACCAATAAACCAAGTTAAAAAATTACGTTTTAATATTACCTTGAGACATCTGAATAAGTCAAGACGAAGGTTATGGAAGTGCACTATATTCCTCGGTCGCAAGATGTCGCTTTTGATTAGTGGCCTGAATGGAATTTCCCATATCGAAGATCCCGGATGTAACGCATGAGGCTGGTAAGGTATTTACTTAGCAAAAATAGCAAAATATCAGGAATTATAAGGGTATTAGGCATAGAGCCATAGGATAAAAATGGAGCTAAAGATACTACGGGCAAGGGCAATCAATTACATTGTGTTTTATTCGTGCTGTTGAACAGATTTAAACAGAGTTACGTTATCGCCAACCTAACAATATGTTAGTGCATTAAGCTTGATAACGTTTGACAGCTCTGTTATTGTAGCCACTCCATTTTGTGTTGTCTCATGAAGTTATACCAAAATAAAACATTTCACTTTTGACACATGCATCTTTGCTCTTTATTCATCAGTATTGTCCAGACATTACAATTTCAATGAAACATACAGATGAAACATAGTTCCTCTGTAATATACAACATGACACTTCTCATTCCAAAAAATGCCTTCCCCATACATAGAGCTGTGTAACCTACTCTAACAGAGAAATTAGCTCCACATACATATCCTAAACTCTTTCCTGTCTCTCAAATCTTCAATCACAAATGAAAATCTGTATCTCTACCTAAACATTTTCCCTCCCAACATCTGCTTCGAGATTAATATTTTTCACTAATTCCATTGAAGCAAATGATAATGGAAGCCAACTTATTACCCTGTTTGGTGTTACAGGTATGAACATACTAGGTAATACATTCTTTCCTCTCTAGCAGTTACACAAATCTATGTGGACACCCTCCAAGAACACAAAACTACATGGCCAGCGGCCGAGATAAACTTTTTTCAAAAGTCTTGTTTTTATCATTTCTTCATGTATAGACTAAACGTGCTAAATACGAGCACATGGATGTCCTTGTCAAAACCAAGACGGGAAGCTACCGCGGCTCCGGGACGGATGGAAACATTTACGTGCAGCTCAAAAGCGACGGGGGGCTAGAGTCTCGTGACCTACAACTCGACGTGTGGTGGAAAAACGACTTCGAGAGAGGAGAAGAGGGCACGTAAGTAGAGCTGTGTACCTAAACAAATTTTAGGTACAGGTACAGGTACACAGGTTTAGGTACAGGTCCGGACCTGAACCTGTACCTGAACAATTCGACCAATTTATATGCTCTTCTGAACTCCTTCAATAACAAAAAAAAAACATAAATAAACTTGAAAGTTAAGGTTTATTCTTTGTTTATGGCGAATGCTCCGATAAAATATAGGCTATATATATGTTTTTGTTTTCATGAACACACTGTCCTTACACAGGGACCCATTGTTAACCAGCTATTTACACATTTGAGGTCACAAATAGGCATAAAATTGGTGTGAAATTGTTTAGGTACAGTACCGGTACTGAGGGATTAGGTATTTTGGACCTGTACCTAATCAATTTTACCGGTACAGTATCGGTACTGCGTACCGGTACACAGCTCTACACGTAAGTAACAAAATTGTCTTCTTAATCTACTAAACGATCTAAATAGAACTTTCGTTGAGATATTGACTAGATCTTTGTCTTCGTGCCAATTTTATCCCAAACTTTTGAGGACGTATTTTGTTTGAAGGTTTTGTGCATTCATCGGAACAACCAATTGTAATTGTATGATGTATTTATGTCATACAATTATGGTACGATTATCATGGTAGACAATATGCAGGCTATCCTTGGCTTTAGGATTTCTCCATGTCGACGTCTAATTATTTAATTCCTGTTGGCTCCCGGCCAGATTCTGACACCACCAAGCTCACCTTATTTCCTGTGTCTGACTTTTAGACCTCATGTCATTCTGCCTGTCAATCTTGCACACCCACATGCAGTTAACCAACTCTGTCCGGATAAGCATACCCTCAGACAAACCCACCCAGACAACATTTTATCATATCACAAGACATGCATATGGCGACGACGCACACAAGTTTTTCAAGTTATTTTAATACCGCCACCAACGCAGAGGACAAACGTATACACGGACAATAGGTATACTCATTTTCACCTGCGTCAATTGAGGAAAGTCGTGTAAAGTGCACGTGCCTTTCCCAAGGGCACAAGATCGGTGGCATGGCAGGATTCGAACTCGGGACCTCTTGGTTCCGAATCGAACGCTCTGTCATTACGACACACGATCTCACCAAAAACAAGTCTTATGCTGGGGTCACATTTCCAAGCCCGGGCCCGGCCGGACTGTTTCGATTAACGAAAAATCAACAATTTTCATAAAGAATATACGTAAATAGTTCCATTGTTGATATTTTTCAACCTTTCTGTGCTTTGTTGCGTTTTATACCATATTTTTCATATTATATATATTTAAATGACTACCCGGCCGGTCCCCGGTTTGGAAATGTGACCTAAGCATTACGTACCCGAAACTAATGAAGAAACATACATCACAGGTACACCCTGAAGGATGTTAAGGTTCGCTCTCCGGTTCGTGAGCTGAAGCTATTCCGGGACGACAGCTGCCCAGACGACGACTGGTACTGCCAGACCGTCTCCGTCCAGCTCCAGCCGGACTCCAGCGGCCCAACCTTCCACTTCCCCGTCAACCGCTGGCTGAACGCAGGTTGGTATGAAAAAAGTACGAATGACCAAGAGAGAAAAAGAGAGAGAGAGAGAGAGAGAGAGAGAGAGAGAGAGAGAGAGAGAGAGAGAGAGAGAATACCTCCATCTCAATGTGTCATATCTCAATGTGTGATGTTAATACAATTTTCACCTGCAGGAGATTCTCTTTGGCTGGCACCTGGAGGATGTGTACTTCCTCAAAATGACAAGCATCCAAAGCAAAGGCATGATGAGCTCATAGAGATGAAAGAGCGCTACGCATCCTTCTACCCCGTGGAAGGTCTTCTGCCTATGGTAAGATCCATTTTTTTGCTTAGTATATAACAAAAGAAGTATTACTTAGTATTACTTACTTTGTGCCAACACAAATGGTTTACGCATTGAATTTTGCAACTGTCCTACTGCAATCTTTCAACGGATCAATCACCAAGGTCACTTGGTCTTGTGGACATGTGACGTTGGCACCTGGACTGACGTCAACAGGAAGTTTGTATCACCCGCCGTCTCTATTAGGTGAAGGTTGGTGTGGGCTGAAAATGGCCTCATAGATATCTATTTTGAGAGTTGTTTTCCTTTTATTTTGTTTCAATGTTCAGTGGCCCCTTTTCATACTCTGTGCTATGCTCATCAACAAAATGCAAAAGCAGGACATGAGATTTGTAAACTCATAGAACCAAGTTTTATAAGTTTTCTGTGCTACTAGTGTGACACATCATATGATATCATACAATGTGTGCATCAATTCAGTCATGTTTTGGACCACATTCTCCCCACTGTAGAGACACTTATCAGTGAGAAATAACCTGCCAGTACTACCCAGGGGACAGTAAACTTAGCAGAAGACCTACTGAAACGTTGACAGAATATGGTTGTGTGTAAAGAAATTTGCCCAATTTACTTTTTTTTGTCTTGTAGCTGAGGAAGCTGCCTCCAGAGGAGCAATTTCTTAAGGAACAAAGGGTAATGTGCACACTTGCGTATAAGTAGATATAGTTCGTGGTTTTATGCAAGAAGATTCTTTGTTCACTAACTAGGAATTTACACATCAGAAGTTTCAGTGGTCGCCTGTCACCTGTTTCAAGGCAAGAATGCCTGGATCTGATTCAAATTATGACCAGTCATTGTTGCCATGAAGAAGGTAACATGCTGCCACCAAAACGTTGGGTGTGAACCCCCACTGGTTGTTGGTCGAATGAAGAAAGAACCTTTTTAATAATAATATATACGCAGTCTCTTGCCAAATGGCATGTGATGAAATCAATCACGGATACTTCGTGTTTTATTTGAGTCTATCTCTCATTGATTATAATATAACGTAAGGAATGTGACTTGCATGTATGAAATGCAGCTAGTACCACTCTCAACCGACTTGTAATGCAGTTTCCTATTGGTATGGCAGAGATACATGTACATTTATATGCTTATTTGTCTTAAAAAACACCTAACCTGCAGAGGGCTATGTTAGAGACTGGGGCTATACTTCTGATGAAAGATCTGCCTTTGCTGATCGAGGACGGCCGATGGGAATCATATGACAGCATAAACGAGGCCTTTCCACCAAAACGAGTGCCTAAGGTGAGAGAAATCAGCTAGTGTTCTATTGTAGTCTTGTCAGGTAAAGAATATTCCTGGATCGTGTCGGAATTGTCCTCATTTCGGATCGTATCAGCATATATCGCTGACACCAAGGACTTGTGGTAAATTTGTTTGTTAAACTGTGTTCCTATAAAGGATAGGAATCATTTTAATAGAAACTTTAAGTCTTCTAGTTCTCTAGTCGCCTTCAGAATACTAACGATTGATCGGTACACGACCAACCTCTGTAAACGTAACGACACTTGCGTCAGAAAGGAGTAAACGGTGGTTGGAAGCCGGTATCTTCCACACTTTTTTTTGTATGAGATGTTCTTACTCAATCTCTGTTGCTTATAAACAGGGGAAAACTAACTGGAATACAAACGAGAACTTTGGTTCGCAGCGTCTGACGGGAGTCAACCCGACATCCATCCGTCGGTGCGAGGAGATTCCAAATGGGTAAGTTCAACTTTTAGGAGGAGGGCTCATCACGAATCACATTGCACTACTTAAGATTTTTCGCGATTTGATGTTTACGACACTCGTATGATCATTTGGCAGGTTTGGAGTGACGGATGAAATGGTGGAGCCGTTGCTGGAAGGACTGAACCTGGAGGTTGCCATCAAGAAGAAACGCGTCTACATCGTGGATCACACCATCATGAAGATCTCATCTTTCGGCAACACCGAAGCTCCCAAACCCGTAAGTACTTAACCTTAACGATTATTGTATAATACGTACGTAATAGAATGATTAATAATAACACAGGCATGAGAATTAAATTGTTGTCTACCGCAAAGAATTTGAATCACCGGAATTCTTAACCGGGACGGGAGGCGGGGCCGACCTCCAACGAACGTTCACCCAGTTTTTACGTCCCATGTATGGAAAGGCACGTTTCTACAACACTCGAGTCAAATAGCTGATGAAAACCGATTGATTCGTCGAAACGTCCGGTCAGGCAAATTCTTTGGGATTGAGAACAGTTTCTCGTTGTCTAAATTAGTAAACTCAGCTTAATTTTCATGGTAATACATTAATTTACAGTCTGTTGTTTGTGCGGGACTCCCATTGGCGTTTTTTGGGCATCCGGGCAGGTCGCCGATTTCCCTAGACAGACCTGTCTGGAAATGCTACTGCTACACGTTGCTTTCACTAATGCTTCGGTCCCAATTGCGCCGGTGCCCGTCGGGGATGTAGCCCCGGCCGGCTCCCGCCGGGCTGTGGAGCCTGGTGGGCACCGTTTGTTGTGGTCACAATTTAAAGTTTCCTTCAGTGGCATTTTGTCACCCTTATTGGTCGGTCTCCGGCAGGCACCCGGCAGGAACCCGGCAGCTTCAATTAATATAGAGTTCACGCTTATGTTGTGATCATTTGATCAGTGACGTCACATATTTTACCCGGGTTTACGAAGTACACATCTTTATTCTGTTCATCTGGTCTGTAACGTAACAAATGTGTCCCGGTGGACTGCCGGCAACCGGAGGGGTACCTCTCGGTCTTTTCACGGTGAGGTCACGGCGTCTTTTTGTCAGCGGGGCCCGGGTAGAATTTAATTCAGAATTAAATTCTTCTCGGGCCCCCGCCGGGCCCAAAAATAGCCCGGTAGCCGAAGGGTGCCGGGCGGGGCCACGTAGGGGTTACGCCCGAAAGTGCCATAAAACAGCCCGGGAACTACCCGGCAGGGCCCCTTTCTTCAATTGGGACCGAAGCATAAGGGAGTACCTCAGTGCAGTTGTATTAAGTTAAAGAATTAACGAATCCCTTTATTTAGTAATATTAGAATTCGCTTGTACTGATTTTTTTAAAATTTTCCAGATATGTGCACCTTATGCCCTGTTCTTCGTCAACAGCAGGAAGGACCTGGTTCCTGTGGCAATCCAGCTCTACCCTAATGACGACAAAGAGAGTCATCCGGTAGGATTTAAAGATGAACTGTAACAGTTTCTAGTTTAGTCTTTTATACAGATATGCACACATAAACAACACGATTTTCAGAGATCTAGATAATATTTTTCTCTATTCGTTGATAGAACATTGTCATCAATTTCCACATCAACGAAACATGCAGTTGTTGCTGGTCGCCATGTTAGTGTCCCTAGTTGCATTTCATTTGATCGACGTTCAAGCGTATTCAGCATTTTCTCATATCGTCGTCTTCTCTAAGCTATAGAAGACATTCGATAGGGTAAGACGATGTTTGTATGTCCTAAAACCGTTGAGGTATGATTCATAAAAATGCCAAAGGTTCACAAATATGCGGTAACCTCAAAGACACGTAAAGAATTCACACGAAAATATGCTCTCTACTGAAACCTCCTGTAGGTGTTCCTGCCGAATGATCCACCGAACACCTGGCTCCTGGCTAAGATGTGGTTCAACTGCGCGGATGCGAACTACCACGAGGCAGTGGCTCACTTGGGTATTTTTCTCTCTTTTTTTCCATGTTGATTTGATTATATGGATGACATATCCTGCGAATTAACCCCAAAATAGATGCGAACGTGCGAATGAATTTATGAAAAAAAGGCAAAAACGGTTGCCTTCCTTATCATCTATAACTGCGTCAAGAAGCGAGAAGTCGAACAATTTAAATAGTAGATCGCATTAGTATGTATAGTTTAAGTATCATTGCTGTATCCTTTTCCTTGTCTATCCATGACCTGTACTTAGCTTGTTCGAGCACAAACGTACAATAAAGGTCTTTCATTCATTATAAAATCTACGTGGTCATAACGGTTAAACAAATGACTAAAGCACAGAGTATGGCGAATAGTCGACTCTTCATTTTCATTTTTTCACATTTTCTTCTTTTCATTTGCAATTAATTGATTGCGGCATTCTATGACATTAGTATTGTTATGTCTGTATTCACTAATGATAACGTTTTTGGTTTTCTTTGGAAGGTTTTACGCATCTTCTTATTGAGGCCTGTGCCCTCGCTGCAAGGCAGAACCTGTCCCCATCCCACCCGATGCTCCGACTCATGGAGCCGCATTTCATCTTCATGCTGGCCATCAACAAGTGAGTCTACAATAAGCGTTCATCTTACTATGTTGTTTGGGACGCAGAAATTTACAATTATATAAAAATTGTATAAATAAATCTTTCCATTTAACACTGCATAGCAAATATAGACTACGTACCTTATTGTCCTTTAAAAAAATCTACCTAAATATGTATATTCTATCAAATTAGACTTAGCTGTTGCCTCAATCGTTCATAGCAAAGATATCGACTAAAACTAATTTCTAGGAGCATTGTGTCAGTTCCTGCAAAACCTAGTTACTAGTACTGATACAAATAGTCACTAAACAAGAAAACGAGACTACCGACCATATAAAACTAAAATACAACAAAATAGTCAAACGTGATAGTTAGGCCATGTTGATTTGATTATATGGATGACATCCGCGCGCGCATAAATTTTGGGGTTCCCGGAGGATGTCATCCATATAATTAAATCAACATGGCCTTACCATTCAATAAACAAGGAGGTTTGGACCAAACCAACACTCTTAGGGGGTATAGAATATTGGAAAGAATCCTTCAAGGTCTTGATTTCTGCCGCCATTTAATTAGATTGCAGCAATGACGTCACGGTGAGCATAACGGCCCATTCACAATCTGGCGCCACGGCTCGCAAATAACTTTCATTCGAGAAGAAATGCACAATTATCGTGACTACATAGGTTATTAATGTTTGTTACAAACGCCTCAAATAAACGTGTTTTAAGAGCATTTGTGCCAGGAACTGTACGCTGTTCTTTGTTTTTCAGTCTGGCTCTGAATACGTTGATCGATAAAGGCGGTGCACTGGACCTAACAACGCAGATTGGAGTTCAGGGAGCCTTCAGCCTCATCCGGGAAAGGTAAACTAATATTTTACCTTTGATAAAAATGTAAAACAGGTTTTTCGTGCCGCGTTTTCTGTGGGTGGATTCTCTTTACTTTCTCTAATTTAATGACGAGACATGGTGACGGCAAACTCAAAGTTTTGACACTTATACTATGGCGACATCAACAGACAATAGGACAATAGAAAATACCAATTTTCACCTGTCAGTGAGTTAAGTATGTCGTTAAGTGTGGAAAATCGCATAAACTGCCTTTCCTTAGGATTCGAACCCGGGACCGCTTGGTTCTAAGTCGAACACTCCGCCACACACTACGCCAAATTAATGTTTGTGGACAAAATAACTCAAGAAGTTGTGGATAGATTTTTTTGTGTATGAATGCACAATGGTATAAACGTCAGCAAAACGGGAGTTTGCTGATGTATTTTAAGGTAATGCAGAAAAATTTAAGGCTTTATATCTCATTATGGTATTAATTTTTCTTGTAAGTCAATAAATTTCACCGTACCAGTGTGTCTAATATTTAATTGTCTAATAAAACAGGCTGAAGACTTGGCGTCTCGATGTCGAGGGAACATTGCCAGAAGACCTGAAGAACCGTGGTGTAAGAACTGCATGTTCCATGACGACTACATAATATTTCATTATGAAAAACTTAAACCTTTCTCCAACTCAAAATTTGACTCACCAGAAATTTTCGACTGAATCACTCAGTCTTCCTCAGCTATCTGACCCAAATGCTGTGGACACGTGATTTTTCCCACGTGTGACGTCAGCAAAGGGTCAAAGATTGTCTGAAGTCACATATACATCAGGGCACTTCAACCATCGCTCAACCGGGACGGGGGGTGATATCGACTTCAGACAACCTTTGACCCTTTGCTGACGTCACACGTGGGAAAAATCACGTGTCCACAGCATTTGGGTCAGATAGCTGAGGAAGACTGAGTGATTCAGTCGAAAAGTTTTTCATAATGTAATTTACCAACTCAGATGAACTTTCATGCTGCATAATATTTCATGGCTTTTTTATTGCTCTGTTTCTGCCAACGGGGTTATGAATAGCTATGTTTTTATTGATTTCGTCGATCGCGCATGCTTTTCCCCAACTTAAAGTATATGTTTATTTGAAAACAAAAAAGAACGTTTGTGAGGGCATATCATATATAATTCTTTACACTACCAAATGGACGTTTTGCATTTGAAATAGGTTGACAACGAGGAAGATCTTCCTAAGTACTACTATCGCGACGATGCCATGCCTACCTATCACGCCATTCATAAGTATGTCACCACTATCGTGAAGGACATCTACGGCAAAGATGGTAAGGCGACGATAGTTAATATACTCATTAGTTTCTATCATTTGACAATACTAGCGATTTCAATTTAAGGTTTCATATTGTGTTGATCTGATGTAAAACATTGAATTTTAAATAACATCGGTGACGAAATTGTAATACAATGCAATGAATTTGACACATGAAGTCCTTAATGTATCAGGTCTTATACTAATAATTCATATTCAAGTATTGATTAAACGCATGGTATGCGTAAAATATGATATAATAATAAGAGATACAATCTTTATGCCGTACGACTGCATAGATGGAGAATGAGCAAAGCTTCTAAGTGTAGAACACACTATTGCTATGTAGTGTATATATGAAACTGTTGGGACCACATACAACAAGCAACTTACATGGTGTCAGAAGTGGGATGGGCTAGTATAGTACATATTTAGTCCATTTCTTCCGAAAATAATTAATTTCATCAGGTTGGTAGAACATAGGATATTGGGATTTTCCTATACACAACCAGGTACAATGTACTAGTATATTTCCTACCTTGCCTACGTTTCCATGTCTGTCAGACACCTTCCTCAGAGCTTCTGACTGGAGTACTGCTTCTCACCGCCATATGGAGCCAATGTAGGTGGCGCTTTCGCGGCGAGAACACAGTCACAAACGTGGCTTAGTTTGTATCCTTCCCTCGTCCCTGTTCATTACTGGGCTTGACTTTCTTATCCAGGCTGCTTTTAGGGGGGGGGGATACAATCTTAGCCACGTTTGGGATTGTGTACTTACCGCGAAAAGAGCCACCGATATCGGCTACATATTTAGCCTGGTTACCAAACCTATTATAGCTCCCGAGTCCTACATCCTCTCCGCAAATAGGTCTGGACCTGGTTGATTCCCAACGAATTTTGCGAAAAGGATGTAGGACTCGGGAGCTATAATGGGTTTGGTAACCAGGCTACTACATATTGCCACCTACTAATTTGGCTGCATGTTTAGATGCCGATACTGATGATACTTATCCGTTTCGTTTTAAGATAACGCCGTGGACCTGAAGGAGGACACTGAAATTCAGGCATGGGCGAAGGCGCTCGTTGACTCTGGCATCAAGGTGCGTCATTGCTAGTTTATGGTATGCGAGGGTGGTTCTATAACGATATCCCTTAACGCATTATTGAACAGCCTTCATAAAACCTATCAAGAACGTTTATTCGAATTATTTTCAAATTTCCGACCAAAATTTCTTTCGTGTTCAACTATAGTACGTCTCTGTATTACTCACACTGACAGGGAGTTCCCGGGAATGGAGCTTTCTCCACCACTGATCAGGTGATCCAGACCATCACCTCCATCATCTTCACTGCCAGTGTGGAACACGCAGCCGTCAACTTCATGCAGTGGGACCAGTACGGCTTCGTACCCAACATGCCGCTCGTGCTGGAAGGAAATCCTCCGAAAAACAAGGTTTTTTTTTTTATTCCAACATGTAATCACCAGACGTGGTGACGACACACTCAAGTTTTTTCAACTTATATTAATGCCGCCACCAACACAGGGGACAAATACATGACAGGACAATACTCATTTACACCTGAGCTAGGTGAGGAAAGTCGTAAGTGCAAGTGCAAGATCGGTGGCATGTCAGGACTCGAACCCGGGACTCTTAGTTCCGAGTCTCGCACTCTGCCGCTACGCCACACGACCCCACCAAGGTTTAGTCATATTTCTATGAAAGTTGGTAGATAACATTGCCAAGAAGACTCTAGAAAATGATTGCCACTCAACAAGTTATGAAAAATAAATTACATAAGGGACACACTAGCCTTCTTTGAACTGAGACGGTGGTCGGTGCCGACTTTCTACTCTCCAAGCAGAGGTTGTGGGATCGTTACATTTTTATATATGGCCGTTTGTTTTTTGTCCTGACCCCCACCAACCCCGTCGGTGGCTGCGGACCTTTTCTGGCTAATGGATACTGCCTGACCAATTTGATACTGTCTTTTTGCCACCGAGAGGGATCTGCTTGGAGATTACCGACTTTCAACCATCTTTGCTGACGTTACATTTCTGGAAGGTCATTTTTCCTGAGCAGCTGGGTCCTCAGTTATCCCAGGGCGAGTGGAAATCGATGTTGCTTTGTTTCTAAAAAAAATCCTGCACCATATATTCTTGTTACTAACGCAGTCAAATAGTTTGGTAGCCTCCGTTTGGCTTTTTTATAGGTGACAATTTTCTTCCTCTGTATTGTTCTTGAAGGACATCCTGACAGAACAGGACGTTCTGGACGCCCTCCCTGGGAAGCGCACGACTGCCGAGATCAACCTGCTGACCGATGTGCTCAGTGAGCGCGCCACAAAGCCTCTTGGGCACTTCGAGGTCACGTACCTTTATGGTGACAGGGCGAAACGAGCCGTTCAAACGTGAGTTAGACGGATCTTTTATTGCCTTCGTCAGGAGGACATGTTTTTGTTTCCTATCCTGTGATGAATACAAACCTCAGGATGTGGTTCATTGGATCAACTGCGGCTGCTCGCTACAGAGCGCCACCTACTACAGTGTATATATATTGTGTTAAAATAATGAAAAGTTTATTGCAAATTATTGCCCGGAGGCTAATTGCAAATTACAAAACATAAAAGAACAATGAAATAGAGTATAGAATAACTAAAGTCTACATGATAAAGGTAGAAATGTAAGTCTAGAAATGTAACTATGTATATTATAATAATCATTCAAATAACTGAAATGGGACTAGTTCGTCGTTTTTTCTGACAACATTCCTCATTATTTGTTTTGTTTTTGATTCAGATTCCAGAAAGTGTTGGATAGCATTGCAAGCGACATCGAGTATGAAAACGCTGCAAACCGCTACAGGCCGTACGATTACCTGGATCCGCATAGGATCCCCAACGCTATCAGCATCTAAACTGCTTAGTTTTGATTTCACCAGCAGTTTCACACAAGGTGCAAAAGCATAACACGTTTTATTACTTCCGGAATGGAAGTATTGTTTTGGGGGTGGCGCTGGGTTAGGGGGAATTTGTATGTATACGTTTTTGAGTTTCAGTAGATTTGATGCGAGAACCTTGTTTGAAGTGAGTCAGTGGGTGGAGATTGTTTCAGTTGATTGTCAGGGTTGCGACCCGGCATGCTCTGGGTCGTAGGATGTGGTCGTCAGGAATGTGTACTGTGTAGTCATGCGTATGAAGCATAAACCACTGTGTAATAGCGGAGTAAATTACGTCATGGTGTAATGGTTGAATTTATTAGAGCAATTATATCTATTCTCGAGAGTTTGAAATCTTCGATTTCTTATAGTCTACATTAATCAAGTTGTTGTAAGCAAGCTTAAAGCTGATTTACTAATACTATTAACTAATACTACCAAGAATCCTTGCGGTCGAGAAAAAATCAGTGCATAGTTAGCCTAACGTTGTGGCATTCCACTAGATGGCATTGTTTATTGTACCCTATGCCAATGGAAAACAGAGGAATAAGGACAAGCTTGGATTATCTTGGAACACTAGCATAAGTACTTAGTTTATAGATGAGGTTTATACATGCATATCATTGTTCTTTTCCCGGTATAGGTTGATAATTGGTACAATATGTCCACACTTATTCTAGCGTTTCAATTGCTGTGTTAAATGACAATTGCTCTGTTAAAAAAAACAGCATGACATCAATACATGTGTATCAGCTTGCTGGTGAAAAAAATAAAATGTGTATCGGGCATTTTGAGTTGCATGAATCTTTCTATATAATCTTACTTCAAGTATATACTTTTCCCCATTAGTCCCTACTACATGTATAAAGAACAATGAGTATGTGGATAAAATGTTGTAGATCATTATCTATTATATCTACTGAAAATACAAGAATCCAATCGCCAGAAAGTTCACGTTGCATTCAGGCTTAAACGAAAGGCAAGTTGAACAAAACAAAGTGGTTTCAATCATAACAGTACTATATTCTCTAAAATTTTGCAAAAGAAAAATTCGAACAATGACAATAGGACAAAGACCATTCGAGATTTTGAAGCAAAATCTTTATTGTCATCTAAATCAAAAGCCAGCTAGAAAGCGATTGCAGTTTGCGATTTGACTGCTTGATAGCTTGTCGTTGTGACCTTGCACTTATCCCGAGAGATTAGCGAAGTTTCAAATTGAAGATATTCTCGTATGTCCGCTAGGTCATCCCATGTTGTCCTTGGCGTCTGTAACATACAAGCCAAGACAACAACTTTAGGAAAAGATCAAATATGGAACATATAGGAAAGCCTTTAAAAAGAGAGCATTTGACGCTAGGTGTTAGATGAAAATATGGGGAAATGATTGTCTGGAATTTTTATACTCTTGTTCGCAAGTTAGGATGACAACGCTATATCTAAATAATTATAAGTGTACTCCAGTCTTTGTCAAGGTAAGAGCAATCCACCGCTTCCGTGACGTCACGATAGGCAGGTGACACACGTGACTCTGTGAGCAGTGGATTGTAAGTTGCAGAAAGTCTGTGCCGCCCCCCGTCTTGGAAATTACAGTTAAACTCTGCCACGAGTCCTTTCACAAAATCCCCATTTTTCACGGTTTTCGTTGGATTTTTGCTCAACGTTGCATAAGAATTTTTCGTGTTGCAGACCATATTTTTTTCCGACATAACATTTGGAAAATAAGTACAGAGGGAGTGTTAACCTTATATGCGCGAGTACGACCTTATATGAGACATTCTGCCAAAGTGCACATGCACAATACATTACGAGTTTCGCGCAGGTGCCGCGACGTGCTTACGTTGCCTACCTTTCTTCCTTTCCTAGTCACACGTGTCCGGAGCCGAAATGACGCACGTGTTGTGTTCCTGGCTCCAGCGGGTACCGGGAGGACAGGTGAACACGGCATCATGTCCCGCCTGGTGACACCGGACGTACCTGGAGCAGTCAGACGGGTGCGGCAGGAACGTCCCGTCTGGCAGGTTCTCACAGATCGTAGCTGTGGGAGGAACATGAGCTACATTTATTCATCTGTTCATTTATTTCATTGTATTTTTTTATCTATCGCGATTACCACACATTGCGGAAGGATTGCAATAACAGGTTACGATCAACTTTTCAAGATGTCAACCCTGAGACCAGAACTATCGCAGACTGGAACTCATCATCGCAGACTGGGGCATCATCACTAGAAAGCTTTAAACAACTCCTGTAATTGAATGTGCAAAGATTGAGTGTAACAAGTCGTTCGGTGTGATATAGCTAGCTGCCGCCGCGCCGCGTGCCTGCGAAGCTGGTGTGTTACGCCGAAGGGCGGTTATACCGGCTATACTGATGCAGAGATCACAGTCGCTTCACACAAGATTGTGACTGTCACAGTTAACCCACCCGTTTCGCAGTGGACGCCCGTCCAGCCCGGCTCACAGTCACACCTGTACTCGTCAGTCACATTCCGGCAGGTTCCGCCATTGCGGCATGGATCGCTGGAGCATTCATCAACAGTCATGTCTAATGCAGTAAAAATACACATTGAATTTAACGTTAGCATAAATCTGACTATACACGTGGTATAACGTAATTGACATTTACAGGTGTACATTCAGTACTGTTGTATTTAGAAAGTGATTATTTTCTTGTAGGATTTTGCGTGACTCCAAAACACAAGTACATATTTCTAGACCAGCACATTGCAGATAAGCCCAGAACCGTTTATACGTACACGTGTGGTGTATGTGAGTGTGAACGTGAGTGTATGCATGCCTATGTATGTATGTGTGTGTGTTTGTGTGTGTTTGTTTGTTTGTGTGTGTGTATGTGTGTGTGTGTGTGTGTGTGTGTAATACTATGTAGGTGTACATGTATCTAAGTGCGTTTGTGTATCTGTCTATATACGTGTGTGTTTGTGTGTATGTACCACGGTGTATGTACATGTTACGTGTCTGTGTGTGTGTGTGTGTACGCTTGTGTTTACGCGTGTTTCTCTGTGTGTATTTACTTCTACATGTATGAAATTCTGTAGATGTGTGTATGTATGAGAACGTTCAAAATAATTTCTCCGCGGAGGTAGACCTAATTTATAAATGTTTAACGTTGGATCCATGCACCACTCACTGACGCAGTTTGTTTCCCCAGACAGTTGGAAGCCATGTGGACAGGTACAGTAGTAACTCCCCACAGTGTTCACACATTTATGGCTGCAGCCTCCGTTGTTTTGGGAGCATTCGTTGTAATCTGCATCGATTGAAATCAAACAAAACAAGAAATTAGAGATTCCAAACTTACTGAAAGAAGATATAGTTTGCGTTAATGAATGCATTATTACTCATGCTATTGAATGGAAAAACTTACTCCGCTATGATTTTTACCCTGGCTACCACAACTTTGAACCTAGGCATGTAGGGTCAATCACATTCAGGGTGTCACATTCAGTGGCCTTCAAATACATCCGTTTATTTGCACTTCTTCTTCAAAGTTTTCCGTTGCATTAGGGTAAAAGTGCTGTGCAAACAAGCCATATATATTGACCTTTTTGGCAAATGGATTTCCTGTGATCTGAGCAGATCCCGCCGTTCAGTCCCCAGGTGCTTCGCCAGTGTTTGAGTTGTCCGCAGTGTTCCTTCCCGCCATGATTGGTCGGCACTCCAGTGTGCCAGTTGGCTCTCATGTCAGCACGAGTTGTATCGGACCACTCCCATCTTCCACGGACCTGAAACGGTAATTTACAGTATGTACCATCAAAGGTGCTAAGGTGTTGTTAACTCGTAGCCTGGGTACCATCCTACTAACAAGTAAGGAAGCGAGTGTGGAAGCCCCGTCATACAAGTAGGATGGTACCCAGGCTAGTTAACTCGAGGTTCTGGGTTCGAATTCCTGGCAGGCCCGATCTACGTGTCCTGTGTGCTTTGGAAGAGCACTTTAAAGAGAGAGAGAGAGAGGGAGAGATGGAGAGAGAGGGGGAGAGAGAGAGAGAGAGAGAGAGGAGAGAGAGAGAGAGAGAGAGAGAGAGAGAGAGAGAGAGAGAGAG